TTTGAGTGAGATCTCCTAAATCAGTGTTCCTGACCCTTGATGTCATCGAATCTAGAGCCCAAGAAAGAAAGAAAACAGTTGGTTCGAAATTTCCAGTTTCTCAACAGACCTACTGCATCAACCTTCCGGACCCATGAGTTTTCATCGTGAAGCCAACAGAGAAAAAAGGACCCATTTAAAGCATTTGGACATTGGTATGGACTATGATGAGTGGCAAAAGCCTCTTTTCAGTATTTGAACAGGACATAGTCACTTGAAATATCAGACTTGATGGTTCCTGTTTCTAGAATCACGACTAAGCCATTGTATTTTTCTGGAGAAATGCAACTTGTCCTAATGCGACAACTATTGTTCATATTTTTCATAATGCTACATGTGTAACATCAATGATTGTGCCCAATGTATCTGTGCAAGTGCACTTTCTAAATGCTTTCCTGAGCAGATCTTGAAACGATTGAAAACTTTATCAAATTGTAAATGTAAATCACATGCGGGTTACCCTTGTAACAGATGAAGGCTGGTAGAATGTTATGGCCCAGATCTGGTGATGGGTATGGTGATGGAGAGGTGCTATGTCAATGGGGGTCCTGGAAATGGTGGCAGTGGCGGTAGGCATTCTGGCTTTATGCCAAGCTCAAACGTGCCTTGTTCCAGAGACAAGAGATCCGTAACCAAGTATTGCTTAGCTTAGCCCATGGCAATCCCAATAGCCATGAAGGTTGGTTACAGATGATTTAAGGTTGGGGTATCTCCGATGACGGGCAACTTGTGGGGAAGACCCCTCCCACCTAAAACAGGGGTTCAAGGTCCCCCAAAGACGGGAAAGGGAGGGTGACCCTACTTGACCTAAGCCAGGAGTGCCTCATTTGAAAATAAAAAGGGGTGAATTGTGGGAACACCAGACCTTGAGCAGAGACCCACTTCCCCTTCTGCCTGGGAGTAGGCAGCTGTAAGACAATGTTTAGTAAAAACATGTTTACTAAAAACGATACAATAAGTTCCTGGCCACTTCCCCTTCTGCCTGGGAGTAGGCAGCTGTAAGACAATGTTTAGTAAAAACATGTTTACTAAAAATGATACAATAAGTTCCTGGAAAAGGCCTTCCCACGGAAACCGCCCTGACCTCAACCTTGTCCAGAGACTAACCGCACCTTCAAAAAACCCACACACATCCACCTCTGGTGTCAGAGCAGAACCAGCCAGGGGAGAGGAGAGAGCAGAAGCTTCTCTGGTGGGAGCTTTTCTTAGGAGGTTTTCTTGAACCTTTTTGGAGCCTGTTTAAAGTTCTCTTTATATCATTGAACGAGTCTCTGTGTTTTTAATACCCGACACCCTCCGCACGTTCTCGGACACAGGCCGCGCAGCAGACGTGACAATTGTGTCTTTAAGTCACAGCTCCAGAGGAGCTTAAAGTCACATCAAGACTCTAGGGCAGAAATGGAGGCCCTGTAAAGCCAAGTCACCCAGGATGTCCACTGAAGGCAGCGATATAAAGTAGATTGTTTTTCCCATTGGGAAGGTATATGGAGCTTTCAGAAGGCTGTGTGAGAGACAATTACTGAGGACCAAGTAAATGCTGTGGCACAGATTTCAAGCAAGTACCCCACAGGCAGGGTGTCAGATGGACAGCCACATGCTTGCCCAGCGGCACCCTGATCTAGCTGTAAGCTCAGGGCCCTTCTTCATCTCCCTTGGTTTCCTTTTACCATTCGTTAGGGGGTGGGAGGGAGGACAATGCCTCTCCTGAGGGTAGCTGTCACCCTCAAGGTGCTCTCTCCTGAGCCCCCAGTTCACAGGCAATGCCTCAGCTCCTTGCTCCTTCCTCTTACCTCCAGACAGTATCTGCTGGATCTTCTGCTCCTACCCTTCCCCTTCAGGCAGTATGCAGTCAATAGACTTGGTGCCCATTGGCACACGCATTATCTATTACCCTGACTCGGACTTTCATGTGATATTAATCTACCAACCTTTGAATAATTACCTTAGGAGACCCTGGTGAGGTGGGTGCCCTTGCTGAGAGAAGCACAGTGACTCATCGGGCATGCTCACCCTCTTCTCACAGAAATGGCTAAGCCGCCTGCCCAGATCACCTGACACAGTATCACAGAAGGATGGGAAACTCCAACAAGAGCTCTGCTTGCCTTCCAGTCACTTCTATAGGGGCCATAAAACACAGAAGGAAGTGGACTGTTCCATGCGCAAGCCTGGCCTGTGACACCTTCCCTGCACTTTTCCTCTTGCTGACAAGCTCCATGCTGACACTTGAGGTGACCTTGAAAGCGGTGTATGAGGAAGCACTGGCTGGGACTCCTGGTGATGCTAAAAGGAGTCGCTGTGTCCTGCACCTCTACTTCTGCAAAGCAAACGCACATCGTGTCACCAACTCAGCGCTCAGCTGTATTGTTAGCGCAGCTGACCTTTCTTCAGTGGACATGCCTGCCGCTTACGTCAGCGACCATCTCTCACGATGAGAAATGAAAAGCAAGGCACACTGTGACCCAGAGCACAGGTATGTGACCTTGACTTTGGTGGTCTGGTCTTCTTGGCCCGGACTCTGACTAAGCTGACAGAGAGGCAGGTGACAGGGGTGCATGTGAGAGGGGAAGTGGTGGTGGAAGCTATTTGTCTACTCCCCAGGGACAGCAGTAGCCGGTGTTGGGGATCCTGGATGTGGGGGCAGCCCTGGGTCCATTGTTGAGATGAGGCTCCTTTGCAACTGCCATGTGAGTTTAAGATTTATATAGTGGGTGTGTGTGGTGTGGACACCTGTGTGTGTGTGTGTGTGTGTGTGTGTGTGTGTGTATGTGTGTGTGTGTGTGGTATCTATGCTGGTGTGTATGTGTCTACAAGTGTTCAAAGAGTCAGAAAAGGGTATCAGACCCCCTGGAGCTGGTATTGAGAACTAAAATCAAGTTTTTGAGAAGACTACCTGATGGGGAAGTCTTGTGTATATGTCAATAAAGCACTGTTGGCCAATAGGGAAGCAAGATAGGTGGGACTAGGAGTTGAGGAGGATTCTGGGAAAGAGAGACACAGTCAGCCTTTGAAGTAAGAAGTCTGGACCCTTTCTCCGGTAAGAGAAATACTTAGATTAACAATTATGGAGTACACATTGAAGTCAGAGATAGCCAGTAAGAAACCAAGCAAACGGCCAACAGCTTCATAATTAATATAGCCTCCTGTGTGTTATTTGGGGACTGCAACTGTGGCAGAGCCCAAGAGGCTGGCGGGGGTTAAAAAACCAAAACGGCTGGTGGAGAAAAACAACACGTTACAACTACCAAGTGCTCTTAACCCCTGAGCCATCTCTCCAGCCCCTGTTGTACGATTTTAGATTTGAACAACCTCCCATGCTGCCCTTCCCTGGACGTATTTCTCATAAACCCTTCTCCTCTTATGTTAAATGGGTTGATTTCTGCAGCTTGACATTAAGGCCTCCTGTTAACTTGGTGTTTCTCTTTCAGGGAACTGGGATTGGAGTGAGCAGAGGACCATTCCCCATGACCTCAGTTGCTGCTTTCCTCTGGGTAGATTTCTTTCTTCCTAAGAATGTACAGCCCAGTGGTAGAGCACTTGCCTAGCATGCATGCAGTTCTGAGTTTGATCCCCAGCATGAGAGAAGGAAGGAAGAATGAATGGAGAGAGGGAGGGAGAGGGAGAGAGGGAGAGCAAGCTATGAATGTGCACAGTTCCCACCCCCCCCCACTGGCTTCCTCAGTAGACTTCCAGAGAGAGAGAGACTGTCTGTGCTTTGACTGCCCCAGGCAGCTCCCAAGTAGATTTAATTTGACCAGAATAAAACCTGCTCTTTCAGAAAACAGGGAATTCAGAAGAAAAGAAGAAAAAGAAATCCACAACACCACCCAAGAAGAAAGCCAACCCTCTGTGGGAATATTGTAACAGATGCTGTAATGAGAAACAAACCCAATAACAGTCCTTTGGGGGCAACTTAGCTCTTCCTCGGAACTTGAATTTTGTCAAGCTACAGGGCTTTTACGTCTCCACGTTTAAAAATATGATCAAGCTAGGTCAGAGAAAATGTGCTGTAGGAGAAGGTTTGGGATGCAGGTGAGTTAGCTGCCATTTTTACCCTCGAGACATGGCTACGGCACTGATGTTACAGTTAGGTGACATGGCCACTGTGGCTGACTGGCAGAAGACAAACCTAAACCATAACCAACAGCCCCTCCCAGAAGCCTGCTTACATAGACCCAACCTGGGAATCCCCTTCTATATTTTCCCCGCTGAGGTTTCTGGAACCCCGTATGCTGTGGTAATGTTGGTCCCAAGCAAACCATGCCTCTCTGTCCCCATAATACAGGACAAGGTGACATGGTTATTTTTCTTTTCTACCACTTGACTTTGAGCTATCACTAGAGTTGTCTCTATATTAATTACTTTTCTCACTGCTGCAGTAAAATAACTTGGCTAAAGCAATTGGAGAAAGGGCGTATTCACTGGCTTACGGGGATACAATCCTCTATGGTGGGGGAAAACAGGTTGGCAGGAATGGCTCTTGACCTTAATGGTGAGAATGTTCTATCTGGGCGGATCAGAGAGCAGAGGACAGATCAGAAGGCGTCACTGGTTCTCCCAGATGACTGGGGTGTGCTTATGTTAGCACACCTGCTCAAAGTAGAGGTAGCCTCAATCCCCGTGCAACATGCAGTCCCTGATCCTTCTTTGTTCATGGCGTCTTCTTTTCTATAAGATTTGTCTTATTCATTTTTATTTGTGTGTGTGCATGTGACTATGCACATGAGAGGCCAGGTGCCCGCAGAGGCCAAGTTGCATCAGACAACCTGGAACTGGAGTCAGGTGCTTGTGAGCCTCCCAGTCTGGATGCTGGGATTCAAACTCAGGTCTCTGCATGAGCAGTGCAAGATTTTAGTGATGGAGTCATCTCCCCACCCTCGATGGTGGCTTCTAAGCAATGCTCTGCATGGTCCTCACCCTAACGCACTGAGTTCCAGCAATGCTGCCAACATAGAAACCCCTACCTCGGAACTCTAGTCCTCGAAGTTGAAAGGTGACAAGACCGTTTCCAATTTCAATCAGGTGGACGAAGGCGTTGAGGTCATCTGAAGCCAAGATGAAGCAGTCACCAGAGCTGTAGTTGCCCCAACGGCCAAGCACCAGGTCTCCACAGAGTGACTCCTGCAGGGTCCGTGTCAGGTGCTCATAGAAGATGGAGTTAAGGTTGTTGTCATCACTCCCTGAGGGCAGGCAGAAATGAGACTGGTGAGGATTATACCCGGAAGCAATCCACTATCTTATGCTCAGATCCTGAAAGAGTGAGCTGCCCTTTGATAAGGTCGGAGTCTTTCTGACACAAAAACACCGGTTTCCCACACGTTTTGGTGGATTATCCCGAAACCTCCTGTGTCTTCCCTCTAGACCCTGAGGTAACCTCACACGGATACCTTAATGTCTAACCGCAAGTTGCTTATTCAATATTCAATACTGTGCTAAGCTCAACACTCTGACCTTGGGGGCTGGCAGTGCCTTTGTGCAAGAATGAGGACCAAGTTTGCTCTCTAGGACACATATTTTAAAAAGACAATCATAGTGACAAGATGTAATCCCAACACTAGGGAAGCAGAGAGAAGTGATCCCTGGGGTTCTCTAGCCAGACACGCTAGTCTATTGAGCTAGTTCCAGGCCAGTGAAAGATCCTGACCCAAAAACCAAGGTAGATGGCTCCTGAGGAATGACACTTAAGGTTGACATATTGCCTCCACACACATACATGACACATGTACATGGGCACGTGCACATGCTTGTGTGTGCTGTGTACATGTGTGCAAACGCGTGTGCACACACACACTTTTGATCTCTAGGTCTGCACCTTACTTCTTTACTTAACATCTCCTGTCTCAAATACTCCACAGCTTCTATGCATACAGGACTCTGGGGCTGTCTCAGTGTGCACAATCACAAATAAAACCACTGCAAAACCAAACCAACTTCTCATTGCTCTCCCGTAAACACCTGGACAGGGGACCACCATTCCCACAATGGCTGTCCATTTGTCCATGCCACAGTAGGGACTGGGAGTGTTGGTTCTACACTCTGACTGGCTTGATTCCAGCAGGGGCTGTATGTTGGTTAAGATTCAGCACTCAGTTGGATGGATGGTGAGAGCCAGGGAGAAGGAAGGGTGTTGGAAGGAGATGGAGCCAGGATGCCCCACTTCCCAGTGGGAGGCCATGGCTGTGTGTGGAGGCCTGTGGTGTATTTCCGTGTTCTCCTTGCTGGGCTCTGATGGCAGCTTTCCCTCTCTGGGGTGTCTCAAGATGAGGGCTACAAGAGTTTCAAGGGAAGACGAGACAAGTTGGGAAGTCCATCTGGGATATGCTTTGGTAGATCAAAGAAGGGCTGGGAAGGCCAAATAGAAACTCCAGGACCTTGATTTCAGGAGCAAAGCCAGGTAGACACGGAGCCTCACTGGAGGAAAGACCTAGACGTAAAACTCAAGGCTTCTTGTGTATTGTCCGCTAGAGAGGAGAAAATTCTATGAGGTAAAGGCTGCAGTGGTGACCTGAGTGCCCCCACTTGGCACCCATGGGACACAGAGCATGAGGCTGGCCTCAGCCTGGAGATGTCTCAGCGCACTGACATGGGGAAGAGGACCTGGCTGTTGCTAAGAGACCCATGGGGACAGCTCTCGGATGCAGAGCACCTGACAGGGCGCTGGAGCTGGTTGGAAGCTAAAGTGATGAGCTGAGACATTGGCAGGGGAAACTGCTGATAAGGTGTCAGCACATACTCTTCCATGTTCGAGCCTGCTGACCTGCTCTTACATTCACTGTCAGTGATGAATCTGCTGGCATACAGATACTAACTAAGGATTACTTTCAGTTCTCCGCACTTTTAAAGAAGAGACCTGAGTGAGAGAATTAGCTCTCCTACTGTGCATACTGCTCTGTACTTTAGTACAATAACTAAAAGTAGAAATTTGTCTCAGAACATCTTGGTACACACTGACCACACATCTGCATAATTAGGGAAAATGAGGTATTTATGGCTAGCTGGATACAGGATGTGCTCCTGAGACTGTCCATGTAATGATCCTACTGTGTCACCAAGTCCCACAGCTGCATGCCAGAGACAATCCCATCTCCCTTCCTTTCCCCAGACACTGATGTAAAGTCCCACAAATAATAAGCCTGCTATCTAAGTGCTTCCACACTTTGAACTCTGATTTCGTGCTAATTGTGCTTATGCAGTCTCAATATATATGATCCCAATAAAGATGGTTTCATTTGAGGATGTTTGGCTCTACAGCAATGGGAGAGCAGGATGCATTTGGTAGCTGCTTTCCAGATTTTGTGTCTGATCTTTTCGGGGGCAGGTGTCTTGCGGTCTGATGCTAGGGTGATACTGGGCAGTGGTGGTCAGCTGCCCCCTTCAGGTCAGCTCAGTGATCACAGATCCCAGGAGGGAACAAGTGATATTCTGGGTTGGATTCTTCTACAAAACAGGGATGGGACGTGTGGGCTAGAGGTGCCACAAGCATTTTCAAGTCACATGGAGGTGTCAGAGCATCGTCATAGGTAACCAGCACGAGCACAGGACACACTAGAGAGACAAGTAGAGTGAGGCCTAAACAAAGGTCTACCTTAACTAAATCACACTTTAAATTATGACATTCTGATAAGAGGAAGAAAGACCAATGGCTATTAAGTGAAACCACTTATAGAAAAAAAGAGTTAAGAGTTTCCTAGCAGGTGACTCCAGAGCTTGATGTTTCTGGTGAGCTCTCAATGCTCAGTCCTACAATGGTTCATTCATATAAAGGCCAACACAGGGCCATGTTGTTTTAAAGGATGGAGCCCCACTATGTCACCTAAGCTGGTTTGGAGTTTCTGGTTCTCCTGTACCTGTTTCCTGAATGCTGGAGTTACAGGCATGTGCCACCATTCCCATCCTGAAAGATGTTTTCCTAAGGGACCAGTCCTAATATTTAGAGTCTGCTTGATGTCTACCATACACAAACAACTTAAAATGTCTTCACGGAGTAACTGGATACAGTCACAAACCAATTCTAAATAATGGAGGGCGATTCCCAAAGCAAACCAAGGGGGAGCTGATGAGTTATGCTCAGTTATGCCCAGTAGTCAATGTATTTACTAAGACATGCCTTGACTCTGCCCTGAGCACACAGAACACATTGAACACCTTCCTTTGGCATTTGCCTGCATAGCAAAGAAAGACAAGGTTTAAAGAGGCTGGGAAAATCACTTACCTGGATCCCTTTCCATTTGCACAGCCAATCTTGTGTTGGAATTATCCACACGCCTTGTACTAGATTGGGACACAGAAAAGTAAAAGGTCAATGGTGAGATCCCTGTCCATTAGGCAGTTGGTGTACAGAACAGGTGTGAGATGGGGCAGGCAGGGCGCTAGGGTGCTTATAGAGGAACAGGGACACGCCCACTGGCCAACCCTACAGAGAGAGAGGGGAGTCAGTCACATCCACACAGCACTGGGAAGGGAAGAGAAAGCTTGTTCTTTGCTTCGGGGAGAATGCCTTTGTCTCAAACCATTTTCAACATTTTGAGCATAAAGTTAAAACAAGTGTTTGGACTTCAGGAGAAATGTTGTTCTCTTTCTGAGTTAAAGATTTTATTATTATCATCTCTCTGTGTGTCTCTGTCTCTGTCTCTCTCTCTGTGTGTGTGTGTGTGTGTCTCTGTCTCTGTGTGTGTGTGTGTGTGTGTGTGTGTGTGTGTGTACATGTGCATGCCATGACGTTCATGTGGAGGTCAGAGGACTACTTGCAGGAGTTAGTACTCATCTTCCACCATGTGTACACCGGGGATCAAACTCAGGTCACAAAGTTTGGCAGCAGACACCCACTGAGAATCCCACCAGCCCATTTCAGTGTTCGCACAAAGTATCTGTGCTTCCAATTGGCTCTAGAAAATGCCTGTGGGTAGACAGTATCTCTACCATAAGCTTCTCCAAGTTGGGGGCATACTTACTGGGTTTTTTGTTTTGTTTTTGTTTTTTGTTTTTGTTGAGCCATGAGAACAGCTCTTACAAATGTAGGAAGGGGCAGATTTTCTGCAGCTCTGGCAGGGAAGGGTCACCAGAACAGGGTCCTCCCTCACAGTGCATCTTGTTTCACTGCTCTTAAAAGGCATTAGTGGTGGCCAGCCTTGTCTCTGAGAGTCGACAGTGGGGAAAGGATTTGGTCTGGGCTTCACTCTGTGACCAATCAGAGAATCTCTACAAGTAACTTCTGCATAGAGCAGTGATTCTCAACCTTCCTAATGCTGAGACCCTTTAATACAGTTTCTCATGTTGTGATGACCCTCAACCATAAAATCATTTTTGTTGTTACTTCATAACTGTAATTCCGCTATTGTTATGAATTATAATGTAAATATCTGATATGCAGCCCACAAAGGGATTGTGACCCACAGGTTGGGAGCCACTGGTATAAATACTCAACCTACCAGTATCCCTGAGACAATACCTGTCTTTCAGGCCACATACATCAAGAACCCTGAATGTCAGAGTATGCTCTGCTTGGAAAGCCTGTGTCTGGTTAGCCATCTTTGCATTTCAGACACAGAGTACCAGTCTCATCAGCCTTTCAATGGTAGAGGTTGTCAGTAAGATGAAACTTATGATGCCTATCTGTGATAAATGTGCCCATTTCACATTGTTAAGTTCATTCCACCAACCATTAAGAAAGGCTTTTTGGCAAAACATACCAGCATAAACACAAGGTTTATACACAGGGTCCCACTGACACTTCTGAAGGATTTCTTACTATGATATCTGCCAGAAAGAAAAGCAGTTGTGTTTGTATTCATGTATGTGTATATGCAAGTTTGTGTACACATCTGTGTATGTGTGCCCATGCACGTGTGTGTACATGTATGTGTACACATGTGTGTGTGTGTGTATGCACATGTGTGTCCTTGTGTATACCCAGGTGCATGTGTGTGTGTGTGTGTGTGTGTGTGTGTGTGTGTGTGTGTGTGTGTGTGTGTTTGTCTGCAGGTACAGAAGATAATCCAGGTTGTTGGCCCCAGTGCCTCTCACCTTTTGTTGAGATGGGGTCTCTCATTGACCTGCGACTTCATCACATCAGCCACGCTACCTGGCCCATTAGCTTTCAAGGGTCTGCCTGTCCCTGCTTCCCATCCTGCTATTGGGTTCCCAGGCTCACACTGCTGGGCAAGTGCTTTACTGGCAGAGCCGCCTTCCAAGCCTGTCCAGCTGCCCTTGGTGCTTCACACCTGACTTGGATTTAAACAGCCATGGACCTGCCCAGTGTCATCTAACCAGGAATGTCAAGGAATGTCACTGGAATGCAGACCTCTTGGCTGAACCTGCCTCCTGGGGAATGGATCTGATAGCAAGAATACCAGGATGAGATTATATTTGAATCAACAAAATGGCTCGTCTTCAGAAAAAAAATCAGAAGTAACATTTGCTTCCTTGTCAGCCTCAGACATTTGCCAAGCATCTAGGTATGAACTTAGTGAAGATTCCAAAAGAGGACTGCAGACAAGGACTCTTTGGCTGCAACTCAAAGGCCTTGAATCCCAGCATGTTGCTCCATCCTGCTTCAGTTTCCCTCCCAAACAGCCTCCCAGCATCTCTCAAAACAGCAGAGCCCAGGGCAACAGAAAACCAAGCAAACAACAGAATCCTCCATAATGAAGGTTGAAATCCCATGTCTGCATACTCGGTCCCTAAACGGAATTTTAATTTCACCTTAAGACCTAGGACAAATGGAATTTCCAGCTGCAGAATAAACAATTTTTAAAGTGGGATTGAGCCAAAAGAAAGTCAATTATTCAATTCCTTAGGGAATTTAGACACTTTCTAAAGCTCTGTCCATTGCACTCTTATCTTTGCAAAAGGTGACAGGCTCTTTGGAACACAGAAAGCTCCCTAAGTCCTCATGAGCAATAGCTCAGCCAGGCCTCCTGGTATCCCAGGCCTAGGGCTCTGTCCATCTCCCAGAGGCATGTTATTTGTTCTCTGGACAATCTGAGCTCTCCTCCAGTGATGTCTGCCTGGAAGCCTGATGCTCACAACTCAAAGGTGCTAATTATCTCTGTAATTGGATTTCTGCCTTTAACTGTCCCATCGCACACCACCAGACCTGTTGCTTCCATCCCACCCTTCCCCATCTCTGGGATGCAGGCAAGTCAGTCGGGTACGCTCCTGTGGGTGAGTTTTCAAAACGTGCCTTACAAAGTCACTGTGTCCTGTGGACAATGCCAGCCTGGAGGTCTAAGTCAAGGGCTCTAACAGGCCTCTAAGAGGTCTCTCCAGAGAAGCTGGTCTGTCAGGAGGTAACTCCTCCTGTGTCAGCATGGAGTGCAGAGCACAGAACTGGCCTGTCCCACCCCAATACATCTCCTAAGCTGAATGCCAGCTCCGTCACATGGGTTCAAATGTGCAACTTAAGTAATTTTACAGTAATTTTCTTTGCTGGCACTATTTCACGTTCCCTTTGCCAGCACACACTGGCTGTTCGTGGGAGACATTTCCACATATGTTACGCCGCAAACACTCCTGACTGGAATAAGACAGTAGGCATTTATCCCCGTGGTTAGGAATGAGGGGCCCTTCTCACCTGGGTAGGACTACAATGTTGCTGATCTCAGCGTCTGCGTTTGCATGTCAATTATTTTATTGTTTTTCTATTCCACTTCACGGATCTCCAGTGTATTTGTAAACACTTCCTTCTGCATGCTTGGTTTGGAATTTTTGTTTACTAAACTTTTACAGGGAATGGAGAAGACAGCTACCTCATCTGTCTTATGCCTAGTTTTCTGTTGTATGAAAGAGAAAATAAGGACATCAGACGTGGGCAGGCCAGTTTGCCCTGGGGATGTGAGCTGTGCCGGGGAAGGAAGTGGCAGTAATGTCCCTGCACAGGTGAATCTGGGAAAGGTTTTCTTTCCACCTTTATTGGTATTTAATTTTCAGCAAGATTTCTATAATCTTAAAAATATTCCATAAGCCTATTATATATATGTATATATATAGATAGATAGAGTAGAGAGAGAGAGAACAAATAGTTGTGATTCACAATAACTATCTAAAAAGATAACATTCTGTAACTCTGTTGCACAAAAAAAGATCTAGATTTCTTTTTTAAGTTTTGACAATATTAGAAGGAAATTTTCCTCAAATTTGATGTTTTTCTTTTCTTCCCCCCACCTTTGGGGGGGTGTTGAGACAGGGTTTCTCTGTATAGCTCTATCTGTCCTGGAACCTGCTCTGTAGACCAGGCTGGCCTGGAACTCACAGAGATCTGCCTGCCTCTGCCTCCTGAGTGCTGGGATTAAAGGCATGCCAGCCATATTTGATGTTTCAGATACTAAAACAGGCTGTGCTGCCAGGAGCAGAGGGTCAAAAGTCAACACAAACTGGTACATCCCTTCCTCCCAGCTGCATGCCTCCTGGCAACCTCCTGGCTTACCCCCTTCAGTGGCTCCTTGCCCAGGATGGGGGCATGGCGTGGCTGGGGGCAGTTCTTGAAAACCGCAGCATGGAAGCCCACCACTCCTCAAAAGAGGTTTCCTGACATTTTAAATTTTTCTGCCCAAATAATTTAAGATTTGTGCGTATGTAGAGGACAACTCACAGGAGTCGGCTCTCTCACTCCTTCATGTGGGTCCTGGGGATCAAACTCAGGTCATCAGGCCCAGGAGCAAGCATCTTCACCCACTGAGCTATCTCCCTGGGCCCCAAAAGAATTATCCTTAAAATCTGCAAAGAATTTCCTTTTCCCCCAACCTTAGCGTAAACATAGTTTTCTCACAAAGACCTCCCTGGCTGTGGCAAAATGTGCTCTGATGATACAAAACAAAACAAACAAACAAACAAACAAAATGAGGCAGCAGTGATTTTCAAACACTACCGGCTACAGCACTCAACATGCAAAGGGATGCGCTCCACTCAGTTGGATCCCAGGCCTTCTCCTGGCCTCAGCAGGTGCCTGCACTCATGTGCACATACACACACATAGATACACACACACACACACACACATACACACACACACACACACACACACACGAGGCGAAAATTGTATGAACTAAATCATCAAGAATCATGAAGAAAGATCAGAGAGCTTCATCAATATCATTAAGTCACTCCACTTGTCCTTCCCACAGCCCACTCTGCTTCTAGCAGAAAGAATGACAGTGCCCAGCAGTGTGGCCTGCAGAGTCACTTGAGTCTTGGACGCCCCCCCATGGTGAGTTCTAGGCCTTAGGGAGTTCTAATTGACTAGGTGCTTGGGACATGTTCAATAAGCCTCTTGT